TTCATCCCTTAGGATTCTGTGATTCTCAATTTTTAAATAAAACCCATTAAACAAATCAACCATTCCAAATGAGGATTAACTTAAGGATATGAAAACTTAGCCTAATGAAGAAAAGACTTAGGATGGACATGACAACTGTCATGTATTTGACAAACAAACTGCATTTGAAGGGCTTTCAGCTGGAGGAGGAGTAGATTTGTTCTACTTGAGGCCAGAGAGGCAGACCTAGATTTGCTATTTTTTTTAAAATGCTCTAACAATGGAGAGCTATCCAAATGAAATAAGGCTAGCTGACCTGGGCATTGGGGGCAGAGGGAGGAGAATTATTAGGTTCCTGTATGCTAAGACTCTTCGTTAGCATTATTTAACTATAATTTGGCAAATTCTCCAACTTAAACTGAAAACTCACCGTGACTTAAACTGGATCAGAAAAACTTTTAGTAGGTTGACTCAAAAGATTTTATGATAACCAAGTTGACTCTAAAACCGGTTTTGCTTTGCTGCAGTTATATCTGATAAAAAGTTTTGCTTCACTACCAGGAATGCCAATAATCAAGCAGCAGTCTTTCCTTGCATATCGTAAATACTAACCATATGCTAGTTCTCACTGAAAGTTAACAATCACAGAATTTTAAAGTTTAGTACAATCCTTTCATTTTACACATGAAGAAACAAGTCCAGAGAAGTAAAGTGACTTCCCCAAAATTACAAAACTATTTAGGGGCAAAAGTGAAACTAAAATCTGCCTCCATACTCCCAAATACAGTGTTTATTCAATTACACCATAAATATTTTAAAGTTACAAAGGCAAGAGTTTAAAAAGTCCATATTTCCAACTGTTTAAAAGATAATCTTGACTTCTATATCCTAATAGAATAGCCCGTTATTACTACCTGAACAGACTATTACTGTCCTGTAACAGATGTTTCCATTCTCCCCTCTACAATACATACTACTGCCAAAATAATCCTATTTATACATAGATTTGATAATGACGCTGCTATATTCAAAAGTCTTCAGTGGCTCCTCTTTGCCTACCGTGTTAAACTCAAATTTCTTTTTCTGGCATCCAAAAATCTCTATACAACCTGGAATAATTTACCTTCTTAACTTTATTTCATAATACTCTCCTCTATAACCCCACAGTAGAGCAAACTGGATCATCGCCCTCTGCTACCCGGAGCATACCCTATACTCTTCTACATGTATGCCTTTACACTCTTCACAAAGCCTGCGACACACTTTCTCTCTCTTCAAGCCACACATTTGTTTAAGCCACTTCCTCCATGAAGCCTTTGATGATAAGCCCAGGGGAATAAGGAGCCTTTGCCCCTCAGATGTCACATAACAACATTTTCTTTTGGAACTCTCAAATGCACTTATGTAATGTTATAGAGCAGAGATATCAAATACAAGGCCCACAGCCTTCAACATCCAGCCTGCAGCCTGAATCAGACTACAATGTAACTGAGAAAATGTTTAACAAAATAAATAAAAATATAATAAAACATAGATAACATTACATTTTAAAATTAAGTTAACATGCAACCTGCAGGGATCCTTACGTATGGATTGGTGGTCCCCATTTCTTTTTGAGTTTGACAACACTATGGTATAGTTAACTGTGTTGCTATCTTTTGCCCCTACTAGACTCTGAGCTTCAGGAGAGTAAATATTATGTCTTATCTAAACTTCTCTCCCCCTGCACTTAACCCAATAAGCTTATTAAAAATATTTGCTGAAATAAATCAATAAGATAGAGTGAAAGGGGGAAACTGGTAACAAAGATGAACAATAGAAAAAGGGTAGTGAGGCATCCAGCGAGATACCTAAACACTAAAAAGCCAAGAGTCAGCTTCCTTCACTGATTAAGAAATTCTAACAGGACTCCCAGGCAAGATGGTGTCTGATATAAATGGAATCCCTGGAAACTAGAATATATCAAACTGAAATCAGGGACTCCATTAGAGATAGAAAGAAATATCAGAACAAAGAGGCAGCTAAGTGGCACAGTGGATACAGCAATGGCCCTGGAGTCAGGAGGACCTGAGTTCAAATCCAGCCTCAGAC